CGAGAAAGCGAGGTCCGCGCGCCGCGCTTGAATTCTCCGGTTGCCTCTGGTCGTCCTCCCTGAGACGCCTTTGAGAACCCGGCCATTTCAGCTGCAGGCTGCTTCAGACGTCGCTACCTTGCGAACAAGCAGAGTAATATGACCCCATGGAGAATTCTGGCTGTAAAATCTCCCTTGCAGGCAGTGACACGGTCACAAAACCTAATGCTTACGGGGAGAAATAAAAACTAACTGCTTGCGACTTGCAAGGCATCCCAAACCGACCAGAAGCTTGGACGTGCCAGAATCCCTAGCACAGTTTCACCACAATTTCTCCACTTGGTTTGTAACTAATTCTTCCAGTGACGATACAACCATCCTTATCCTGCACCTCTCCCAGCCGTACCCAAGCAGGAGAACTGAACTTGTGCAGCTCACTGGCAGGATCTGGCTCTCTCCCTGCAATGCTTTCTCGGCTGAGAAAGCTTAACTATCTACCAGTGCAAAACTGGTAGATACATGCTCACATATCGATGCCAATAGGTGAGCGTACCCCTGGAAGAGCGTGCTCAACGCCTCTACGCAGATCAGCTGCGTTTCTGTGGATCCCGCTGCAAACGAGCGGAAAGAACGTCTCCTTTTTCTAATTATTTTTTACGTCCCTTCAGGTCTGTTTCCTGCCTGTCTTACACAACAAGACAAAAGCTACATCCTTTACTTGAGCTTTTCCCAAGACCGAGTCCCATTGGCAAATTTGCCAGAAAAAAAAGAAAGGCTAGGAGTAAGGACTGACCGTGGGGCTCGACTCGGTAAAACCAAACTGATAATATGCTATCGCTTGCAGCTACCTAAGGTAATTAAAAACTCAGAATAGCTCTTAATGAACATTTCTCCATCAGCTAGTAATCAAAAACCAGTCGAGCACCAAAATACAACCCACCATCTAAAGGTATACCTGGATCATAGATACATTCATCAGTTTTACTTTGAAAATCCTTCAGAATTACAGCACTAAATGTTAACATCACCACTAACTTGGTATATCATAAACTATATAATTATTGCATGTAAAAATATTTCTGCAACAGCCTTTCCAGAAGTACAGTGCAAGCCTCATTAATTATTAGGGAAAAGTTGGATTCTGCTGGAGCCACATTAATTTCATCAAACATTTCATTATAATAATTAACTTCATCTTGCAATCATGCTCCTGAAGGTCTGCATTAATTAAAACTACCGCTGTGTTTCCTTTTTATTTGTTGTGCACTGAAAAAGATCAGATTTACTAACCCACCAGAACAGTTACATGTGTAGATCTTTTATGTCATTTTTTATATTAAAATCCCAAGCATTATCTTTTCTTATTTCTCACAACAAAACAGCCCTCTTAAATTACTAAACATAAAATAGTTAACAACATCACCACTTTGAGGGTAAGGCTCTCGCAGGGGATTGAAAATACTACATTTCTTGATTTCTGTAGGAATTACTTTGTATTCTAGATGTGGGGTTTTAGAGGAGAAAGAAAAAAGGGAAAGTAAAACGCAGGAACCTCTCTCCAGCTGGGGGCTGATCTGCAGATCTGCTCTGTAACTACTTGTAAGGGTCAGGGCTCGGCGCACCGGGGAGCTGGCTCTGGCTCGAGCGTTCGGGGCGCATAACCATCTACGGGCTGCAACTGCTGCAACGCCCGGCCGACGCAGAGCCGCGACGGCAGCCCGGGCCGAGGCCGTTGAACGCGGAGCACAAAGTAAGCAGAGCTGTACCTCTTTTCGCCGAGAAAAAGCATTCTTGAGACACGCACACGCACACATCCAAAAACAATATGGTAATTGTTTCAACTGTTTCCAATATCGAGACAATAGATGGAGATGAAACACATCAAGTGAGAAAAGTATGTCTGCGTATTACCTCATTATTTAAGTATCTTTCATTAGACACAGCATTGTTTACCTGCAGTATGAGTTAGGTCTGCTATTTATTTTAGCTGCATTGTGGTAACACTCTTCCACTTTAAGAGAAAAGAACATTTGGGAGCGGAGGAAACAGCCGCAGTGTTTACCTAAAGATCAAAAAAGGCACCCGCTAATTGCATCAGCGTGCACCCGAGGTGATGCACGCAGGCGATGCCGAACGAGAACCGCTGCTGCTGCTCTCCTTGCCCAGGTCGCGCGAGGCGCCCGCGAGGTCGGCGCCCTCCGGAGCGGGCCCGAGCGCCCGAGGTCGGCCTCGCGCGCCTCCGGCCGCAGCGCGGCTGCCTGCTCTGCTTTTGTTCCGATGTCTTCCTGCCCTGGACTAGCCTTCCCTTTGTTTCAGCTACGCCACGTTGCCTTTTATTTCCTCTTTTTAAGGCACTGTATTACGTACCTAGGCGTCCTGAACGCACAGCAACAGATTATCTATGCATAATCTATATAAAACAGAGTATAGATTGTGTAGACACACACACACACATGTAAAATGCTGATAAATGAAACAGAGGCCTCATTTTTTCCATCACCATAGCTCCTAAGCTGTTAGTCCCCCTTTTTTCACGCATACGTAGCACGAATGAAAGCAGCAGCTAGCGTACTGAAAGCCAGCTCACGGCTATTATATTAATTACATATACTCTGTTCAACGTTACAGTCTTCTGAGTAAGTACAGCTAAACTGCTGAGTATTTACGCCATGGAGGCCGCAGTAGCAACAGGAAAAAATGAAACAACAGAAGTTTTATATCATTTCCCAGATGCATTTGGCAAGTTATTTCATTTGTCTGCGTTCCTTTTCCAGTCCTCGCTTAGAAACACAATTATCTCAGTCAATCAAGGATCCTCTATTCTTTTCACATATTTATCAAGTAAGAATCAATATTAAAAAATCAGGCTAAAATTATTTTGCATTTGAAAAATGGTTTCCCAATGGAAAACCGGTTGATGGAATTTCTCAGCTAATCTCCTTCTACATAACAGCATTTTAATCTGTAAATTGAAAAAAAACATTCAGCGGTCCAGATTCTGCTGTCAATTATCCATCTCACCAAAAATCCAGGACAACTCTTTAGACGTCCCCGGGATTACTCCCAACTTGTAAGAGCAAAAAGAAGAACAAAATGTGGTCTTATCTGGGGGGGGGGGATGCAAAGACCGGTCTGATTTCACCGCGTTCAAGGCAAACGCAGGCCAGCCCACAGGCGTACGGGCTTGCCGAGCCATGGATTTGTTTTTCCTTTTCTATTGATATTCGCACCTTACGCTGCTCGTTTGCTTCACAAGCGAACCGACCCACAGCTGCCTCTCTCCTCCGAAGCGTCGCAAGGCGCAGCCTCCTTCGGGGCAGCAGCCGGCAGCTAACCCCGGACTGCTTCCAGAAGAGAAAGCGGTCGGCTCGGTCGCGTGCAGAGCAGGCGAGACAACACTTGGCATTAATTACAAGTGCCGGGACCAACATTGTTATTTATAAGGGAGACAATCGCCCCCCCTATAAACAGCGACAGAAAAACCCACGAAGATCATCTCGGCGCGCTGCCGACGCTCTAACTACTGCTGCCATTCAAACGGGCCCAGGCGCTGTCATAACCAATAGCTTAGGAAAAAGTATATCCTGACCTTGACATTACTTCCCCTTCTCCCGAAGCGGCGGGGGCCTCTGGTTATCAATCACCACCGTCTGCCACGTTTTGTACCCTGGACTTTTTCATTCCCACCAGCTGCCTGACCTAAGAGTCTTCACTCGCTCAGGAAGGACGGCTGAGGGGGAGAAAACGTTTTGCTTCGCTACCGTTTCATGATATTCCACCCCTTGTTTTCCCTCCCTGCTGAAGGACCGTTTGCTTCCCCCTCACCCACGCAAGCTTCAGTGAATTTATGCTTTAAAAAGTTGTAACACGGTGGCTAGTACGAAGAAAAAGTAAAGAAAAGAGGATGAGCGTGTATGCGAGGCAGCTGTTCTCTGCAATCAGAGTGCTGCATACGCTAAAACACGCACACCCCAAACTCTCCCGACGAGGGAAAAGGACAGAAAGGCGTGCAGCAGACTGCGCTTAGGATAAAATGTGACACAAACAGCTATTCAACCTTTTTGCCAAAACTTACATATATGTTACCCTTAACCTAAGCATTTATAAGGGCCTGAGAAAAGCCAGGAGCCCACAAATTAACATTTTAAAATGAAAAAAGCATCAACTGATGTCACAATGACACATACCGACTCATTTTCTCTCCCCAGTCTAAAATTTCTTTAGGAAGCCTAAATTCAGATAGTTTTTTCTTCCTTTCAGATTTGTTTGTGTTTTCCTTCTACTGCTGTTAAAGATCCCTGGAACCAGCGTCCTCACCCTTGCAGGGGTCAAGGCCGGGCAGAAAGCACCGTCTGAGCAGACCATTGAGCAAAACTGCAGTGCTGAGACAAAAAGTGAACGTAACTAACTGGATAAAGTCCTAGCGACATATGAAGTGGTGCCAGAAAGTATTAGGTACCCTATGCAGTTGCACTGGTTTTGTTAAATCTTCTGAGAGTCCAAAAAGGTCTCACTTAGTCTAGTAGCTTGGGCCCAGATGCTCTGCAGGATGCACGCAAAGGAGGTCAGGCCATCTGCAGGCTGCCTGCACACCAGTATTTTCTGCACAGAATGAGGGACCGTGAAAGAGCTAACAGGGAAGGGGAAACCTAACAGCCCCTACGACGTTTCTCCTGTCAGTCTGAGGGACTGCGAGATGGAGGCCAGCCGTGTCGGAGCAGTGCCCGGTGCCCGCCAAGGGGCTGATGATAAACTCCTCGCTGTAAGAGCGCTCGCGAGTAGCGGCGAGCGGGCACCGAGCAATCAGCAGTTCACTGGAACAAAGCAGTCTGAAGTTTAGAGGTTTCTGCCTCAAGCTTTTCTAGGTTGCTACAGTCACGAACATTTGTGATATCCTTGTAATTTCTCTGCAACCACAGTTAAGTTATTTAAAACAAAGAAGTTTACAAAATGGACTCGTGTTTTGGCGCAACCTGAGCTATTCTCATTTTACATGCGTTAGCTTACTTCAGATGGCTTACTTCTGGCTTCCAGGCCAGCTACACATTTTTTGAATGTTTTTGTTAGAAATACGTTTTTCCATCCTCAGCTCATTCTTTTGTTTATCCAGATATGCCCCCTGTTTGCTAGCTGGCAGTAATATTGACGGCATTTCTCATTAAAGTTAGGCCTGAACCAGCAACTCGAATTCGAACTGTACTCAATTTGAGGTTTGCGAAATGCGCAACTTGGATTGCTCATCTTGAATCCATTTTCGGTTTTAAGCTTCAAAGAATTTTACAAACATTAGCTAATTAATCCTTGGAATACCCTGTCATCTGCATAGAGGGGAAAGGTTACTGGGTCTGTTGGAGTAACATTATCATAATCATATTAATTCCATGTAATATCTCTCCCACATACCCACATCTGCAGACTGGCATTTCTATAACATGCCTAGTCGAGTTTTATTGTTTTTTCTCAGCAGCCTCCCAAACCACCCCCTCAAGCCCCTCTTAAATACAAACAAAAACTGAGTTCGCAGCTTGGGATCAGGCTGTCTATCCACCACTCGCAACGCATAGCAGGAACTTTCTACAGGTTTGATGGCACCGAAATACCAACACGGCTCTCCATTTGTCTCATTTTTGTTTTATTAACAGAATCTATGTTCACACCAACTGTCAACACTTCACACAATCTTCCCCCACCACAGGAGGGGTCAAGGGCTAGCAGATCCCATGACGCCAGGGGTTTTAGAAAAATCATCTTACTCACACCAGCAGCAGAGCTGCTGAACGCATGTCCCCCTCGGCCACTTTCATTCAGTGCTGCTCCGATATAAATCTGGCTAAATTGCAGACAAAATACCTAGCATAACTCCAGGCTGGGACATATTACCCTCTGCTGTGGTTTCCAGAATGACTTAGATATTCCATTGCTCATAATTAGATCCTCTCTGCCGCGCGAATACAAAGAAAAGCGCACGCCAGCATCTTGGCTTGCACACGCAAAGCTGATAACCCTGCCTCCACGTGAAGAGCATCAGGGAACGGGAAGAGTCAACGGTGAGGGCTGCAGCCACCGGCAGGAGAAACAGCACATCTCAAAATCTACGTGGCTACCGGTTGCATTTCACTGGCCCTTATTAGAGACAGAACTGGCCCAGGAACAGTTAACCCACTCTGCTTGCAAAGAGAATTGAGGTCCTCCATGATAGAAAAGTTAGTGCTTCGTAAACACACGGTTTACTGCACATTAATATCCCATTCCCTCCTCCTCAGACAGCAACCCAAGTAATCCAGCTGTATTCCTTCGGCAGTCAAACGAAGCCTGGAAGCGTCTGTTGGCCTCAAGAGTGTAAGCGACAGCACCACAGCGGCAGCCTTTCTAAGTGGCTCTAGCTCTGAGCGTCTCGTGGCAAAGACGAGCTTCCACCACGTTTCTGGCCTAACTCCCAGACAAGGGAGCGAGTTAAAGCTGCAAGTGAAGGACAGGCCTGTAATCTCAATTGACTCGGCTGTTGTACCACCTGAATCCTCCCTGTGATGTTTTAGTTTTCCTCTAAACAACCCACCCTGGGATCCCTTGAAGGGGTGAGGTGAACACAGCAACCTGACAATTGCCAAAATCGTTACCTGGTCATTAACGTGACACACAGCTAGATTCTGTTCATCGCAGGAACAGGCCACACGGATGTATTTCAGCCAGTTCCCAGCTCCACTCTGGCTAGCATCAACACAGAATTTCTCATTTCCCAGGTCATCAGCAATCTGTAGAAGAAGAGGGGGTGGAAAATGGGTCATCTGATACCAAATGATAGATACAGAAAGAAGAAAGAAAGGAGAATTATTTGCAATGCAGGATTCCAAACAAGAAATACAAAGAAGGAGAAAGCTCGATGGTATGTGTAATACAGACAGACATATGACTACATTAAAATCCGCTCTTAAGGGCTAATCAGAAATTCCCTGGTCGGAAGAACCTCCATGGACATAAACCAGAGCTCTCTGTGAGTAACAGGCTTGTTACGGAGACAAAAACACAATGCCAACATCCACCTCAGCTTCAACGATCAGAACGGATCAACTCCTCTCAATTGCATTTGTTTTAATGATGAGCTACGTGAACTGCTCCATCTTCAAATAATCTATTTTACCCTTTGACGTATACACATTTTTTTATTATAAACTTTAAAAAAAAAATCATTTTTTCCAGTGAAAGTTTCAAACAGGTCACTTTCCATCATGCCGTGAAACTGTATTTTAACAAATGCGGCAGCAAGTGATACTTCCATTTATACAACTACAGGACTGTAGAAATTCAGCAATGCGAGAGGACCCGTGTGGTCGAAAGTGAGGTCAAATTTGGCTAGTGTGTAAAAGATGCACCCTTCCCAATGTAAAACCCTCACAAATACTTAAAAGCCCAGGTGCGAAAAAAGGGTTAATTAAAGGGCTGTGGTCTAAACCTCGCCCCTCCTTTTACCAGGAAGAGACTTAGGACTTTTTCTTTCTTAAGACAGCAAGGCAACTTTGACGATACAGAAGTAGAAAAGATGCTCCGCGCTCCATACCAAGGTTCGTGACGATCCACGTGACAACTCGCTCAAAAGAGCACACTCACAACGTTACAGAGAACACCGCCAAAATGAGGAAAAAGCCCTTGGAGACGCTCCTATGGCAAGACTGTAGTCAGCTCCTAACGGGGCCTTCCTTATCGCAGAAACTCCCTTCTTCCTCAGACTTAGATTTCCCTCTACCCCTACTAGACCCTGTGTCGCTGCAAATCACTTCAGTCATCAAAAGCTCTTAACGTGCTTTTACAAGCAATTAATTCTCCCAAAGTCTCCTGGGATACGATAATACTTTCCCACCTATTTCAAGAGGGAGGAGGAGGAAGAGGTAGGGACAAAGGAAAGGGAAATTTAAACCACAGCGATGACAGCAACAGATCGGCCCTAAGGTCGGGCTGAGAAATCTCTGCGTGACATCGCGAGCTCCCGCTCGAGGACCTGGCGAGGTCCGGGCTCGCCCGAGCCCAGCGCGGTGGCCTCGCGGCCCAGCAGCTCGGCGCGCGGCCGAGGAAGCCCCGGCCCTGCAGACACCCTGCTCCCTCACCGCAAGCACCAGCTCTGCTTCCTCAAGCTGCTCGTATTAAAAGGGACGAGGGAAAATCAAGCACTCGGCCTTTGGCTTAGTCTGCCCCAACGGAAAACACGGCAGCGAAGCTTCGGCCACAGCCTGTCCGTTCTCCCAGGACACGCGTCCGCCTGGGACGCGGTAAGGGAGGGAAACGACCCTCCCTGCGCTCCCACCCCGCTTGGGAACCCCCTCGCTGCTGCTGACCAGCTTGGTTCCCGCAGGTTTAGCTAAAAGGGTTGGCCCCGCCTGTGACAACCGTCAGGCCGCAAAGCAAGGTCCAAGAGCTGCTGCATGAGAAGGAGGCGCAAAGCTGTTCTGAGCAAAGACTCCGCGCCGCCAAGCCGGGCGC